CTTCTGTTCGTGTTCAGTGGAGAGGTCAGCCCCCTGAGGCCTCGACCTGGGAGTCCGAGTCTGACATACGGAGCCGTTATCCACATCTATTCCCTGACTCAGGTACTTCTTTCTTTTGTCCGTTCGAGGACGAACGGTTGTTTTAAAGGTGGAGGATGTGATGACCCAAAGGGTCATCACCTGTTTCCTCATCCGTTCCGTGCTTCCGAGGCCTTGAAAACCTCATTTTTACTTGCTTCGATTTGCGTGCGCAGTCCGAGCGCATAGCCGGAAAGCTTTTATGTTGAAATATGTGAATTCTGTGAAAAATTTGAAGAATTTTGATATTAATATGTTTAAGGTTGACTTCGGTCAACATTTTAGGTAAACGGACCCGGACCCGAGATTGGACGGTCCCGGAAGGTCCGTAGAAAAATATGGGACTCGGGCATGTGCCCGGAGTCGAATTCCGAGGTCTAGAGCCCGAGAAATAAATTTTTCTGTGAAATTGTTTTTCTAAAATTAATAAGGAAGATGGAAATGAAAATTCATTAAAAGACTGTGGTATCGGGCTCGTATTTTGGTTCCGACGCCCAGCACAAGTCTTATATATTGTTTAAGCGCTTTCTGTGAAGTTTGGTCGAAATCGGACGTCGTTTGACGTGTTTCGGACCTAATTATCTAAAGTTGGAAGTTTATGAAGTTTGAAATAGAAACGATGAGTTTGAGGCTTGATTCAATGATTTTGATGTTATTTTGGCAATTTGATCGCTCGAGTAAGTTCGTAAGATGTTATTGAGTTAGGGTGTGTGATTGGTTAGGAGCCCCGAGGGCTCGGGAGTGTTTTCGGAGGTGTTCGGGGTGGTTTTGGACTTAGGATGATATCAGATTTTCTGCAATTTTTACACAGGGATTTCCTTCTTCGCGATCGCGCTCTTCCTCACGCGATCGCATAGCACTGAGTCGTCTTCCTTCGCGATCGCGTATTGAACCACGCGATAGCGTAAGCCAAATCCTTGGACCCCCAGTAGTTCTTCTACGCGATCGCGTAACCCTCCACGCGATCGCAACGACCAGTCAGTGGTACCCTTCGCGATCGCATCCCTATTTCCGCGATCGCGTAGGGCAATTTTGCCCAGCGAATTTTTAAGTTAAAAACAGAACAGTAGCACGGGATTTTTCATAAAAAAACACGAAGCTCTTTCTTCTCCAAGCACTTAGGCGTCCATTGAAGCTCCCTTTCATCAAAACTTCTTGGGTAAGCATTGTTCAACTTGTTTCCTTCAATTTCCTTCATTAATTAGTGAATTCCTAGCCCTAAAAACATGAAATCAAGGTAGAAATTATGGATTTTGGGTAGAGTTAGGGTTTTGAGAATTTTGGGTGATTCAACCTCAATTTGGGGTCGAATCTTAAAACAAATTATATATTTGCACTCGTGGGGTTATGGGTGATCGGGTTTTGGTCCGAGCCTCGAGTTTGGACCATGTGGGCCCGGTGTCTAATTTTGGTATTTTTGGAAGAATGCTAGAAAATTCATATCTAGGCTATGGGATGTTGCCCTTGAATCTTTATTGATATTATTGAATTAATCATGCCTAGATATCACTGTTTCGGAGTCGGATTGTAGAGGAAAGGCGGTCTTTGAAGGTTGATTGCTATTCTTGGGGCCGAGGTAAGTGTTTGGTTTAACCCTAGCTTGAGGGAATAGGAGTTGAGTCTTATTGCTAATTGCTATGTGATCGAGTGCGATGTATAGGCATGGTGACGAGTATCTATACATTGGTGTCTAGCATGACCGTGAGTCGTTATAATGTGATTATCATGAACTGATTGTGAATTCCATGTTTATTGGAGTATTTCTATGTGTTGTGAATAACATGTGAACGGTAATATGATCATTTGATTTCCTGGGAGCATAGGCTCGAATTGTGATACGAATATTGAAAGTATATGAAATGACTTGTTTCATTGAGGAGCGTCGGCTCCAGTTGTAGAACGAATTGTGACAGTCCAAGTGATAATTGAACCTCTAGAGCATTTACTCGAGTTGTGAAGAGAAGAGATCATTATGTTGCCCTCTTGACGGGCTATTGTTGGGTTGTGATTCCTCTGCATTGTGTTCTTGACGGATACTAGGGTCGCTTAGGTTAATGTTTCCTTGTGTCGTGGGATGACTATAGTTATAGCTGAGATGGTTAAGTAACGTAATAGGCTAGCTATCAATGGGGTGGTTAGGTGAGGTAATCGGTTAGATATAGCTGAGATGGTTAAGTGTGGTAATAGGTTGGCTATAGCTGTGGTGGTTAGATGTTGGGGCTAATGTGGTTATAGTAATCCCCTTGCCGGAATATTTGAGATGATGTTTTGTCCCCTTACTAGGAAGTCGTTATATTGTTGTTTGTGACGGAATATGAGGTAAGAGATTTCTTGGAGCTTGGGCTCCAGTGATATCGTGGGATAAGAAAAGTAAGAAAAAGAAAGCGTTGTTGATTATTCCCTTGCCGGGACGTTTGGTTGAACTTGTTGGATTCTTTCTCTTGCCGGGATGTTTGTCAAATATTTGCTTATTTTTATGCCCCTTTATTGTGACTGTTGTTTAGGGAGTCGGGCTGTTAAATGATATTGAGGATCGGGTTGTGCGCCGCAACAATGATATTGAGGATCGGGTTGCGCGCCGCAACAATGATATTGAGGATCGGGTTGCACGCCGCAACAGTAAAAGGTGAGGATCGGGTTGCGCGCCGCAACAATGATACATGGTAAATGATATGGGTCGGGTAGCACGCCGCAACAGTGGTATTTGTGGAGCGGGTTGCACGCCGCAACAATAGTGATTATGGAGCGGGTTGCACGCCGCAACAGTTATTGAGACTATGTGTTTGTATTTGAGTATTGATTCCTTGTTCATCGTGAACCTAAGTTGTTTTAGTTGTTACTCTTGATTGCTGTTAATATTGTATCTCCCCTTAGCATGTCTCCCCTCCCATGTTGTTAATTACTTGGTATTCGATTTCCGCTGTATATTTATAACTGCACAGGTTTATGTGATGTCCAGTCTAGCCTCGTCACTACTTCGTCGGGGTTAGGCTAGACACTTACCATCACATGGGGTCGGTTGTGCTGATGCTACACTCTGTGCATTTTTGCACAGGTCCAGGTTTTGAGGAGCAGCAGCAGCAGTTCGGGAGCAGACTTTCTTATTCACGAGACGGAGGTAGCCTTGCAGGCGTCCGCAGGACCCGGCGTCTCTCCTCTATGTTTTCATTTTGACTGTTGCCTCATTGTTTTCGAGACAGACAGCTGTTATATCTCTTTCAGACCTTTGTATTTAGTTCTTAGTGGTTCGTGAGTAATGTGACACCAAATCTTGGGTAGAGACTATTGTTGACTATTCCGCATTTTGATTCAGACTTATAAATTAGACTTCCGCTATTGTTATTATTAAATTCCATATTTCTTATTGATGCTAAAGATTGTTAACATATTTATTTATTTAATGAAAGGAAAATAAGTTGGCTTGCCTAGCTACCACGAGTAGGCGCCATCACGATACCGATGGTGGAAAATCCGGGTCGTGACAGAAATTGCGATGCCTGATCTCGCAATTGCGAGATGAGAGGCCTGCAACAGGTTCAGTCATACCAGCAAATTTTCCTAAGTTCCAAAACACTCCGTAGCCTATTCAAAACTCACCCGAGCCCTCGGGGCTCCAAACCAATCATGCACACAAGTCTTAAAGCATCATACAAACTTGCTCGTGCGATCAAATTACCAAAATAACATCTAAAACTACAGATTTAATACCAAAACATATGAAATTCTCAAGAACACTTGAAATTCCTATTTGCACAACCGGACGCCCGAATCATGTCAAATCAACTTCGTTTTTTACGAAATTTCACAGACGTGATTTAAATATTATATTGAACCTGTACGGGGCTCTGAAACTAAAATACGGGTCTGATACTAACGAGATCAAACATTAATCAATTTCTTTAAATCCTTAGATTTTCAGTTTAACAATTTTTAACAGAAATTAATTACTCGGGCTAGGGACCACCGAATTCGATTCCGGGCATACGCCCAAGTCCCATATTTTATTACGGACCCTCCGGGACCGTCAAGACACGGGCCCGGGTCCGTTTACGCAAAATGTTGACTGAAGTCAACAAAAATTAACTTTTAAAGGCAAAAATTCTTATTTTTCAAATTTCCACATAAAGGCTTTCCAGAAATGCGCCCGAACTGCGCACGCAAATTGAGGAAAAATAATGCGAGGTTTTGAAGGCCCCGGAACACCGGATTGGGTTCTAAAACGCAAGATGACCTTTTAGGTCATCACATTATATTGAGAAAATAACATTGTATTGCCGCTCTAAAAATAATAGCTGAAAACTGTATATTTTTGTATTTTTGTTTGCATATATATACAATATGTATATTATATATAAAAATTATACAAATTTTATATACTTTTTGACTATCAAATATAAATAGTTTTTGATGCGGGCTAAAAGTGATAATACCTCATTTATATTATTTAGGTCAGTAGACTTCAAATATGAGATGGTTAAACACTTTTTTTGAGAGAAAGGTAAATTTGCTTTCTGATGAAGAGAGAAAGCTAATTGAAAATTGTTAAAAGTGAGAGCTCTTTCCTCGTGAAATTAATTAGCTTAAACCGAATATGCTTACTTTGAAAGACAGAAAAATGTTACCTGTCAAAATGTATTATGGACGTATGAGTTATAGACAAAATATCATATGGCAAAACAACAACAAAAAATGCATTTAAACTACGATACAAAAAACAATATATCCATAAACTAATACTAATCCATACATTATAATATATCAATGAAATAATTCTTGTATTAATTGTCCTGCCTAACTTGTTTATAAACCAAACTGCGAGGGCTACTGGGTCCCAAAATATAGAGCATTATATATACACAAACTATCTTCAGAAAGTGAGATATCTCTTTTTCTATTTTCTGATCTTTTTAATATATATTGAGGTGGTGGCATATGTTAGACCAAAAGGAAAATGCTTTACAAATTAGAGCGCCAACTTCAAAACCCCCTTTTACACTTGGTGATATAAAAAAAGCCATTCCTCCTCACTGCTTTCATCGTTCTCTCATTCGCTCCCTCTCATATCTTATTCAAGATTTCATACTTGTCTCCATTTTTTACTACATTTCCACCACTTTTTTCCACTTCATTCCTTCCCCTTATAGTTACGTTGCATGGGTTTCTTACTGGATCGTCCAAGGTTTAGTTTTTTCTGCAATATTTGTCATTGCCCATGAATGTGGACACAATGCCTTTAGTGATTACCAATGGGTAAATGACACTGTTGGTTTTATCCTCCATTCTGCACTTTTAGTCCCATATTTCTCATGGAAAAATGGTCATCGCCGTCATCACTCTAACACTGGTTCCCTTGAACGTGACAATTTTTTCGTGCCAAGGCTTAAAACCGAACTAAAATGGTACTATAAATACTTGAACAATCCATTAGGACAAGTTGTCACACTTGCCTTCACAATCATTCTTGGCGAGCCTTTGCACTTGGCATTCAATGTCTTCGGCAAACCTAGTGATCTCTTTGCATGTGATCATTTTGATCCATATGCTCCTATATATAATGACCGTGAGAGAAAACAAATTTACATTTCAAATGCAGACGTGATTGCAGCTACTTATGTGTTGTATCGTCTTGCTTTGGCACAAGGGCTACCTTGGCTCATATGCTTCTATGGGGTACCCCTCCTAATCGCGAAAAACCTTTATATATTAGTCACTTTTTTGCACCATGCTCATCCTTCATTGCCACATTATGATTCATCCGAGTGGGATTGGTTAAGAGGAGCTCTAGCTACTGTAGACAGAGACAATGGTGTTCTAGTAAATAAAGTCTCCCACCACATTGCAGATACTCATGTTGTGCATCATCTATTCCCGGCCATTCCACACTACCATGCAGTGGAGGCGACCAGAGCTATTAAGCCATTGTTAGGAGAATATTACCAGTTTGATGATACACCAGTTCATAAGGCAATATGGAGGGATTTTAAGAAGTGCATCTATGTGGAGAAAGATGAAGGATCTCCTGATAAGGGTGTTTTTTGGTATAAAAACAAGTTCTGAAAGTTGAACACCGATAACTATTTACCTAAATTGGTTTAATGTTCAATAATACTCGTGGTAATAATTATTTTGGATTGTGTATCGTATATGTTGTTACTTTAAATAAATAAAATGTTTGTTTCCCTCGCTATGTACGTAACTATGATAATATCCATTTTACATAACCACCAATTTGGCGTGACGGAATAATTATGTTATTTTTCTTTTCATTCCGTCATGTCATCATATGTGAACTGAATAATGCAACTTGGTGATACCATCACCTAAAAAACTCAGAAAAAGGGCGTTATTTTTTGGGACTGACTAAAAAGGAAAGAGTGTCACATAAATTGGAACAGAGAAAGTATCCATTTGACGGCAATTTCTTTGTATTTTTGCATATAACATATCAGCTTCACAAATATTGTACTTTCTCCTCCCAAATCGAATTGGGGAGTTTCAGATATTATGGACAACAAATTTGATTCAGTTTCATAATTTATGAATAGTATGAAGTTAGTTTATGATATAAAGCGATCATGGATCCTTAAGCAATCATGACATGAAATTAAAAAACGTTTATATAGTACTCATAGTAGGCTTCCACGAATTATGCATGTCACTAACAAATGGATTTGCCAGCAATTTTCATTTATCATGATGAACACCACCACCCCACAACATCTATAAAGTAAATATAGATGGTGCACACAACTTGTTTTTTGGTAATTTTTAACTCAATTCTATACTGTTACAGGTAATTAGCACGCATGTAAATTACAGAGCAAACAAGCAACTAATGATATTGCATTTTGGTAGAAGGATGAGGCTAATATTTTACAAAATTCAGTCAGGGAGCATGGTTCCCTTGACTCCGGTTAGTAGTTCCCTTAACACTCATATACATTTTAAACGGCTATAAAAGTGCCACGTTATTAAAATATGTCCGCTTTTTCTCTCATCCTTTTTAGGTCCAAGCGTCACACCGGTTACAAATCGACCTGACTACCCAGTCCGTTGAACCCATTTGTAACTGGTCCCTCATCCCCTCTAAATAACCCCAAAAGATACGTCTTTCTCACAACTGTCTACATCAAAGACCATCAAACACCTCTTCTCTCTCAGAAACCCTCTCTCTCGTGTCTTTACTCTCCAAAATACCACGTCTTCCCAGAATCCAGAGTTCCCAAAGGCTACCGTTGTCACTCCCCCTTGCATCTTTGTCTCACGAAGCACTGCAACAGGAGCCTGAGTCTCAACTTTCACCCGGTGAAAACCCCAACTTAGACCAACAACCACCCCATGTCTCCTCTCCAACCCCATCGAGTTCTGGTTCTCACCGTAGCCGGAAAAATCAAACACCCACAAGGTTTGTTACCTCAACCTCTCCCTTTGGTTCGCCAGGAAAAATGGCAGAAGACGAAATAATAGTCGGAGAAGAGGGACCAGAGGTTTTGAGTCAGCAAGTTAGGGAGGTCACTGTAGCCCAAGAGGATGTTGCAGGTAGTGGTGAAACATCAGAAGTGCCTATCACTCCTCCTGTGCCATTAGACTTTGTCATTCCTGAGATGAGACCTTTGTCTGAAGTAGAGAATGATAACAGTGAGAAAGACTATGATGATGTGACTATGGCAAGTTTTATTGTTGCTAGAAGTGGTAAGGCAGTTCCCACAGAGCCCGTCCTTAATAGACCCACTACTAGGCAGCAGAAGAAAGAAGCTCTTGCGAGTGAATTGAAGAGAAACAAGGAGAAAAAGAAAAGAATAAGGTTGGTGAAAGGGGGAAAATTAGTGAATGAAGAGGATGTGCCTCTGGCAAACATTGTGAATGTTGAAGATGAAGAAGTGAATGAGGAACCTGCTTCCTTGGTTTGTAAATCCTCTAAGAAGTTTGTGCTTGCAAAGCCGAAGAGAGGATCGTAAAACCGAACTAAGATGGTACTTGAATAATCCATTAGGACAGTTAGTCAAACTTGCCTGCACACTCATTCTTGGCTAGCCTTTACACTTGGCATTCAATGTCTTCGGCAAACCTAGTGATCTCTTTGCATGTCATTTTGATCCTTATGCCTCTATATATGATGAGGGTGAGAGAAAACAAATTTACAGTTCAAATGCAGGTGTGATTGCAGCTACTTATGTGTTGTATCGTCTTGCTTTGGCACAAGGGCTAGCTTGGCTTATATGGTTCTATGGGGTACCACTCCTAATTACGAAAAACCTTTATATATTAGCCACTTTTTTGCACCATACTCATCCTTCATTGCCACATTATGATTCATCCGAGTGGGATTGGTTAAGAGGAGCTCTAGCTACCGTAGACAGAGACCATGGTGTTTAACTAAATAGAGTCTATCACCATATTGCAGATACTCATGTTGTGCATCATCTATTCTCAGCTATTCCACACTACCATGCAGTGGAGGCGACTAAAGCTATTAAGCCATTACTAGGAGAACATTTTCTGCTGCCAATGCTTAAAGTTCACGCCGGAAAACTTTCCAGGCTTTTCTGCCGGTGCAGGAGTTGTGTGACTTGAAGATGCAGTAGCCATTGTAGCAGTAGTCCCAACGGAACCACTCTGTTATTCCGTACTTGTTGTCATTTTTCTGTAAAAGAACTTGACACAAACAGAACTAGTAAATCGGTGAAGTTTTTATATCCTCAAACCGAATACAAACCACCGAGTATAAAATCACAAGGATTTTAATCTCGGATTTAGTAGAAAGTCAGAAAGACTTTAATCTCAAACTGGAGTAGAAAATTTGAAGATTTTAATCTCCAAAACGGGAGTAGAAAATCGCTTGAATTTTAGTCTCCCAAATCCGAAAGTAAGAACTACATAGAATATAAAAATTAAATTCCTTAAGCTTGTTAGTATCTGTATTCGAAAATATAATTTTTGCAAAATGAAACTAAACCAGAAACCAAAGACAGAAATAGAATGAAATGAATAACGTTCCGAGCACAATCACTTGTAGTTCTTGGACTTGCGTTATGACAGATTTGCCGGCAACTATTTTGAAATCCAGAAATTTGGTGGCCACAAAACTTCTTAAGTCCAGCATCTTCAGTCTTGTACTTTTTTTCAAGAGCATGCCACAATTCTCTTGATGTTTTCATGACACTATAAACTGGAACATCCTCGTTGATAAAGCGCTGTATACTGAGTGTGGTCAGTAGAAGAATATTTTTTGCTGCCAACGCTTAAAGTCCATGCCGAAAACTTTTCGGGCTTTTTCTGTTGGTGCAGGAGTTGTGTGACTTGAAGATGCATAATAAGAAAGTATCAATAATATTGGTACCCTAATAATATCTCATGAAAATGACATCTAATACTTTTCTAGTGTATTGACGTTGAATGGATTATTTTAGGAATAAAAAAAGAGAATCTTTTTTTGCAGGGATTGTGTTTTCTTGTTTGCGTTATAAACCATTCAAAATCGAACCAAATTTCTCTATTAATGTACCATATAAAACTATTAATACAACTAATAATTTATTTGGCCGGTTTATGCAGCCTAGACTTGGAATGTTTTAGCTTTTGAATCTATTACTTCATCTCCTCTCTTACTATTCTTTTCCATATTTCAAGCAAGTTGTAAAGATGTGGATCCATGGCAGCAGTAGTCCCAACGGAATCATTATGTTGTTCCGTACTTGTTGTCATTTTTCTGAAAAAGAAATTGACACAAACAGAATTAATAATAAGTCGGTACCGTACTTGTTGTCATTTTTCTGAAAAAGAAATTGACACAAACAGAATTAATAATAAGTCGGTGAAGTTTTTATATCTTCAAACCGAATACAAACAACCGAATAGAAAATCACAAGGATTTTAATCTCGGATTGAGTATAAAGTCACAAAGACTTTAATCTCAAACTGGAGTATAAAATTCGAAAATTTTAATCTCCAAAACGGGAGTAGAAAATTGCTAGGATTTTAGTCTCCCAAATCCGAAAGTAAGAAGAACACAAAATATAAAAATTAAATTCTTTAAGCTTGTTAGTATCTGTATTCGAAATATAATATTTGCAAAATGAAACGAAACCAAAAACAAAAGACAAAAACAGAATGAAATGAATAACGTTCCGAGCACAACGGAAAAACTGTATTTTCTTAAGGAATTTAATCCCCTCACTATTACCCAAGGTTGTTGGATTAATTTCTTCCAGGATAAAATGGAACAACTATATCTGTAATACCGGCAATGGAAATTACATAACTTCTTCGAACTCAACAAGCGGCAGTAAACCATACTGATACTTAAGTTTTGGTTGTCGGAAAATAATGCAAAAATGCAGAAGATCATATCCAAATCCGAGAGGGGAGAGTATGCAAATTTTGATGTTGAAAAATGAGGAAAACCTCTGAATTTATAGCCAAACAGTCTGGGTTGATCATATCCAAATCCGAAGCCGAAGCCGAGCCGAGCCAGCGACGACGACGCGAGGCACCACTTCTTCTTAACTCTTTAAGAGCTAGAAGATGTGCTTCTCTATATAAGCACAAATATTTTCTTTCCTTCTTCCGATGAGGGACAAAGTGCAATAGAAAAGGAAACTATTTCAAACTTTTCGTTTTCCTCTTAATCTTTGCCCTCCATTTCCCATTCACACCACTTATCTAATTAGATAAAAAAAGCCAACATTATGGAGGGATTTTGAGAAGTGCATCTATGTGGAGAAAGATAAAGGATCTCATGATAAGGGTGTTTTTTGGTATAAAAACAAGTTCTGAAAGTTGAGCACCAATAACTATTTACCTAAATTGGATTAATATTCAATACTCGTGGTAATAAGTATTTTGGGTTGTGTGTTGTATTAGTTACTGCTTGTTGTTATTGCTTTCATTTCATCTTTTCTTGAGCCGGTGGTCTTTTAGAAATAGCTTCTCTGCGTACACACTGCCCTCCGAGATCCCACTTGTGGGATTATACTGGGTGTGTTGTTGTTGTTAGTTGTCTGTTGTATTTGTTGTTACTTCAAATACAATGTTTCTTCCGGTTGTTACTTTATATT